ATAGCGTAGGTATGTAAAGCTGTTGTCGTGTTAAGTATGTCATGCCTTTTAACCTCTGAATGGGTAGACAGAGACAGTAAACAATGTAACATCCACTTTTCATTAGATATGTTATGAGTCCCATGTAAGAAATCATCGTCATCCATAAATTACATCACACGAATTTAATGATTTGTCATGAATTGTAAGGGTGCCTTCACCCTAGTCATCATCAATCATCAACAGCCTATAAATGCCCACTGCTAAGCAAAGCCTCTCCTCACACGGAGAAGGTTTGAGCATTAATCATCACGCTTGCTTAATGTGGGTTGGCGATTACAAACTTATAATTGGAAATTATAAGCCCAGGTTTCCTCACGATGTTTTCCTTCACCGTTTGTCAGTGGTGTCTGAATAATCTTAGAAATTACATACCTACATATTTTAACTCGAAAAAAGTCACATTGATAGGTTTCAAACCCGCACCCTTATGCATGAGAAGCGGGCGTATTAAACCTCCGGGCCACAACGACCACATTACCGTGACGTCAAATTATGCAAAACTGTTTGGAAAATAATGAATGAATCAAAAATTATATTCATTAACAAAAATATCGACAAAAAATTGCATCTTATATTTACATCGATATAGTTGTATATATTAATATTTTTGTAGGTTTCGAAAATTAATAGTAAAACACAGATTATAATAGTTTCGAAATTGCAACGTTTCAAAATTTAAGGTCCCTCCCACCCCCTTGTCACACAATGTCACACTTCGTCGACCTCCTCCCTCCCTTTTAACGTGTGACGAAATTTATGGATAGCCTCTAAAGATAGATGGCAAACCTTTTGCCGTATGCAGGCCTCAGTTTCAGACTTCATCTAATCTACTACTAAGAAACCTTTGCTACTTTATTGTCGTCATTGTGGTTTTTATAAACCGGTTTCTGGACAGGTTGGGCAGGATTATGTTACACATTTGGCGTCATGTGCTGACGTAGGTAGGCACATCGTTTTTATCGTTTTTCGGTAATCGAGGATGTCAATAATTCTGGATTGCCCGCTTCGCTGGTCACGTGGTTCCAAGAGGAACTATCGCCTAATTAGTAGCTGGTTTAATTCCTGTGTTGGACAAAGTATTGCTATGTCAATTTGTTTTTAAAATATAAAGAAAATGGAAGAACACAAATTTTAATTGTATTTTAATTATTTCATTTTCTCCACTAGTTTTAGTGTATTTCAAAATAAATTTATATTTAATAATTCATTTAATAATTTATTTTTAATAATCCTAAAAGTAATAAGTAGTATTTATTTGCTTTTACGGTGTTATTATAGTACAGTACCTATACAATGCTATGGTAAATACAATACTATAATTATACATAATGGAAAAATCCAATCTATTTGGCATATTATAATATTATACCTTTGTCTGGTTTGTTCTTGTATTAAATATTTCCCGTTGGATTTTCGATTGCATTTTCCCTATGAAAATGACGGAGGTACAAATTACGTGTGCTATTGAGAAATATTAAATTGAAAAGTATTAAGATACATGAACAATGTGTGAACTGAAAAATACATATTTTTTACATAAGTGATACTATCTTATACTATTATATAAAACGGAAGAGTTTGTTTGTTTGTTTGAACGCGCTAATCTCCGTAACTACAAGTCTGATTTGAATAATTATTTTTGTGTTGGATAGTGCAATTATCGAGGATAGCTAAAGGTTATAAAACATTACGTTACAACCAATAGGAGCTGAGCAGAGCGTGTGAAACCGCCAGAAGTAGCTAGTGCAATATAATTCTAAAACAAAAGACGTTAACTACTGAGATGTAATCATAAACCTTTTTGCTTTACCTAAATTTTATTCAAATTCCAGTGTTTTTATGCTGAGCGCTCATACTCTGATTTTAAAACAGTTTGCAAATCGTATATTTTGTGAGATTTTGTTCAGACAATAGGTAATTATACCTAACTAGCGACCCGCCTCGGCTTTGCACGGGTGCACTATGCATGTATTATATATATAAACCTTCCTTAACTCGTCGAGTACCGTCATTATAGACACAATTATAGAACAATAGGTTGCGGTCACCGGTGTCCGCTTGGTGTTTGACAGTTTAAGAGTCACTCTATCTCAATCTGTTAAAAAAAACACATCAAAATCCGTTGCATAGTTTTAAAGATCTAAACATACATAGGGACAGACAGACGGCGGACGACGTTGTTTTATATTATGTTGTGATTATGTTATATCAATAGGTACTATGGTTCTTATTACTTAGCAATAACAGTTAAGTTAAAACGTTAACAAATCTTCGACGTTTAAAAATTGTCGTTGCCAATATTTTAATTTTCTGTAAATAGTGAACAGCAGGTAAACCTACTCCTTTCTTCCTGCCAATCTCTTTATTACATTTTCATTTTGATCTGTATCGTTTAGGTATACTTAAAGTCGAAAATCCAATGACAAAATTTTACACATTGTGATGTTCATGAAAAATAAAAGAAAGTATAGCTACTATGTCGTCACAACACTCAAAGTCTATCGATAAGGACTTATAAATAAAACAGTATTCATTGTAAACGAGTTTTAAAACTATCTTGCGTATTATTCGATTAATATTTATACAGATAAATAAAATTAGAGTGTCTGTTTGTAATATTATAATATTCGTTTTGTACTACATGCATATTATATACATACGATATACTTACCAAAATAAAATTTTTGTCTTTCTGTCTATTTGTACTGGCTAATCTCTGGAACGGCTGGACCGATTTTGCAAGACTTTTATTGGCAGGTAGCTGATGTACTAAGGAGGAACATAGGCAACTTTCATTTTGGAAAAATGAAACAATTAAATTACATAACATCACACTTTTTATCCCCGAAAGGGTAGGCAGAGGTGCACATTACGGCACTTAATGCCACTGTACAATGTAATATCTTTCACTTTTCACTATGTATGTTATGAGTCCCATGTAACAGGGGGTGAGCCTCTTGCCATATACTGGGCACATTTACAAACTCCATGCTAATACTGAGATTTTTAAAAACCCAGTAATACTTTGCCCGACCCGGGAATCGAAGCCGCGACCATTCGGCCAACAAGGCAGTCAATCAAATTATGTTCTAAAATACATATTCTACGCGGACCAAGTCGCAGGCAACGGCTTGTTGTAAATATGAAACAGAAAGTATTTATTTTATAGGGCAAGAAACATTTCGCGTAGTGAAGGTCAACTGGTTGTCAAGCCTTTTTATTAAAAATAAGTCAATTATTAAGGTGAATATTTTTAGCACAACATGTTAATCTACATCTACACTAATAGTATAAAGAGGAAAGATTAGATTTTTTGTTTGTTTGTTTGTTTGAATTGAATCCCCTCCGAAACTATCGGACCGATTTGAAAAATTCTTTTACCGCTGGAGTCCTACATTATTATATATATTTACTAGCGACCCGCCCTGGCTTTGAACGGGTGTAATATAGGTAATATATATGTATTATACATTACAAACAATCCTTAAGAATGTCTCTATCTATTAAAAAAACCGCATCAAAATCCGTTGCGTAGTTTTAAAGAGAGAAGCAGGCAGATAAGGACAGACAGACGGCGGATAGCGTCTTTGTTTATACTATGTAGTGATGTAGTCTTATCTAAATATAAAAAATAGGGTTTTGTTAATCATTTCTCAGTATCAAAAGTAATTACTTAATTATCATGGAGTTTGAAATTTTATTTCGATTGGCAATAATTGTTTACCAGATGTTAATTATTTTATATTAATTTGTGCATTAAAATTTATCGATTTTGGTTTAGCGGTTTAGATGTAAAAACTCAACAAATCAATAGGTAATCAACAGAATACCCAAAAAGAATAATTGTATTAGTTAACTGTATGCCTATTAACATATTATAATAAAATAATTAAAAGATTAAATAAAGTAGTCTTCGATCAAGCCGAAAATAATTGAGTTGTCTTGTATCAGGTTTCACCTTATATCTGATGACATTTTCCCTATAGTTAATTGTCTATTTTGACCAATTTTGGAAGCCTAATAAAAAAAATATTATATTATTTTGTGTATTAAAATAGTATAAGTATACTGGTGATATCGATATTATTATCATTGTTTTGAAATCCTGATTGATAAAGAACAGCTAGATTTTAACACTATTATTGATTGTGAAAAATATTTATTTACTATATTACCTACTTAATGTCATGGGCATTTTTACTAGCGAACCTTTAGGTGATGCAGTGAGAGTGTAGTCGGTGCAATTAGTTGACAACTTAAGAGTATCTAATATAGTCAATAAATGAAAGAATATCAAATGAAACAAAATTAAAGGACCACAAAATCATAAAAATATAATACCATAATTATAATCATAATGAAAAACAAAATATTTAATAACGTAATAATAATGAATTAACATGGACACTAACATTTAAATTTTAAAATTTGAATTAAGAATTACCTAAATTTAAACGTGTCCATGATGTAGACAATTAAATTCATCACAGATAAAAGATCAGCTCAGTAATGAGTTCCGCGACAAAAAACCAGCCAGTCGCAATTATTAAATACTTCTTCGTAAATAAACCAGCTTTTAGTGTCGATATACACTATGTATTTTTTGTACCCAACTCATGAAGAATACACCAATTTATTCCGACATTAAATACCCAATTCCGATTCACCTTGAACCTAAAAAACGCACTAATTATTCGATGCACGCAATTTTATGCAAAACAAGAATACCCGACAAAACAAAACTATGTAAACAAACTTGTTTTTATGCAAATATAATTGCTATATTAAGTATTCGGATTGAGAAATAAAATAATTGCCAAAAAATATACCGTCTATCTAAAATTCATTAAAAGGACACTAGGATACGACACACTATAAAAATATAGTTGATACATAAAAACATATTTCATTAAATATAAAACTAACCGCAAAATAATGTGCATAAAAACGCAACTTACCTCAAGGTCAATGACTGTCAAAAAATCCCTTCACTCAGTCCTTTACACATACATCACTTTGTCACGAAAATCGTATGCGAAATCGTCAACAAACACCACTATAGTAAAATGACAACTACGTACAACCCGGGCAACAGCCAAACCAACACTGCACTCGCTTCTTGCGTTGCGAAATGCGTCGGCGCAGAATTACAACACCGGTTTGCATTGACCTTTGATTCTTACCCACTTTTCCCTTGCTTGTAAATATTTCATGCGTAGCCAGGGAGGAGTGGGAGGTCTTGTTATAGTGGTTGTTTTTGTACGCAACGAAATTTGGCTCATTATAAGGATTGTCGGAGGTCTTTGATGGGGTTCAGTGACTCTCAAAGTTGCGGGAACGGGGGAAATCCGAATGTTTGAGAACTTACCATGTCATGGCCGCTGCTTGCGTATTTGAAGGGAATGTTTGCCAGCTCGATTCTAGGATTTTGTAGGTATATACATTACAACATTTTGTCCTAATTTGCTTTAAAGTTTATTCATCTATCTTGTATTGGTTGGCCTTTTCGACTAAAAACCCGGTAGTGAATATTTTCAAACACTATTGGTACGTCAAAAAGTCGTTCTAAAGGTACCCATTATTTATTTAATATTGGAATGTTTACTGCATAAATAAAGATAGTGTTATTGAATATTGTAGCCGTTTCAAATTAGAAATTAAATTGTTTTAGCTTTACCCATATCGTTTGAATAAAACCTGGAAACATTAATACTATTATTTTGTCCTCCAAAATTCACAGTTTGCGTAACGATTCCGCATCTTTTAATTAATATAAATATTTGATTGATATATTTATATTGATATTGAAATATTTATAAATAAAATAGGTCAATTATAAATACATCATTTAGTATGTTAACCATTTACGTATAGTCAGAATTTTAATTAGATTCCAGATTTGACAATAGCTACTATCATTTCGTGAAATAATGATACCACATATAATAGTGCAGTGACGAACACAAAAATCGATAAACAATCAGTGTGTGTGTTTTATAATAAATGTTGCAGAAAGGGACAGGATAGCGAAAGCGAAGACGGCGACAATTTATAAAATAACTTATTACCATAATACATCTATCTGTTTTATTTGTCATATTCCTTCATGGTTACATTTTTTTATTTATTTCACACATAATTATAAAAGAAAGGTCTCAGATCGTTAATTAATCGTCAAAACTAAATTATCAGTTCAGAAATATTTAATTTTCTGATATACTTAGTTTACAAGAGTAAAATTATAAACAAGAAGAATCGATCCAGTAATATTGCATTATAATATCGAATAATTTCGCAACGTCACTATTTAGTACTTGTCATAACGTTGCAACACTGAAATTGTCAAATCTGGAATCGAATTAAAATTCCGAGTATAATAACATTTTGTATTTAACCAATAAACAGTGGTTAAAAGCCTAATTATCGAACGCCATGAAAGTCGTCACAATTCGATCGTAGTCAGTACCCTTGTAGGGTTTAAATAATAACAGATTATCAAAATTACATTGCTTTACTCGTTCATCCATCGTAAGCTCGATCCTAATTACTAAGTATCGTCAAGTATCATTAAGTATATTAATATCGACTGCCGAAAAGGTTATCTATACGTCATAATTCCCGAGCGTACGGCGCGTCGCGTTCCGCGCGTGCCTTGAAGAGCCATCAGACCACCACAGAATCTGTGGTGGTCTGATGGCTAATAGGGCCCAACAGGGCCGATGCCGATTCAGAGTCGTGGAGAGCCGAACGGGTAACCGAGGCTCCGGCTCGACGTGCAGGAGAAGGAACGGGGTGGTCAGTAAGAGTCTGACACTCCCTCCCGCCTCACCTAGGCGGGAGCAGACATTCGATGATTATCGCCCCTTAAAAAAATACTAAAATATTTTATTATTTTATTTTAATTATTTATTATTTATTATACATTAAATAAGGGTGCTATATTGTATAGTGGCATTAAGTGCAGTAATGTTCACCTCTGCCTACCCCTTCGCGTTAGGGACCGGACGACGGGGACTGCAATGTCCAGGGGTAAGGTCGTAGTGGCGGTGTCTCTGGACATCGCCAACGCCTTCAACTCCCTGCCCTGGAGCTGCATTTTGGAGGCACTCCGATATCATCGGGTGCCTACCTACCTCCGTCGTGTAATCGAGGCATACCTGACGGACAGGTCCGTCATCTACCCCGGTCACCGGGGCGAGTGGAACCGGCGAGAGATGTCACGCGGTGTTCCACAGGGTTCGGTTCTGGGGCCGCTCCTGTGGAACATCGGCTATGACTGGGTGCTGCGCACCGACCTCCCGAACGGCGTTAGCACAATATGCTACGCCGACGATACGCTGGTGCTAGCGCACGGGAGGTCACACCAGGCGGCGGCCGACTTAATGGCGACAGCGGTTGCGACAGTCGTTGAGAGAATCCGGCAGTTGGGACTCGAGGTGGCGCTCCACAAGTCCGAGGCCATGTGTTTTCATGGCCGCGGGAACGCGCCACCTCCGGGTGGGTCCCAAATAACGGCGGGAGGAGTTACCATCGGCGTCGAGACGACGATGAAGTACCTAGGACTCGTCCTCGACAGTCGGTGGAACTTCATTGAACACTTCCGACGTTTGGCTCCAAAGTTGGAGAGGACGGGGGCTGCGTTTAAACGCATCCTCCCCAACCTCGGGGGGCCAAACGCCTCCTGCCGGAGGTTATACGCCGGGGTCGTGCGGTCCATGGCCCTCTACGGCGCCCCTGTTTGGGCGCCAAACCTGTTGCGGCGTCCCGCTCGGACGCTGCTCATGGCACAGAGGGTCATGGCGATCCGAATGATCCGCGGATACCGCACGATCTCTGGGGAGTCGGCGAACCTCCTTGCCGGATTACCGCCGTGGGATCTGGAGGCGAAGGTGCTCGCGCGCGTGTACAGCATGCGCGCGGAGGCACGTCGCCGGGGCGAAACCCCGCTGCCGCGCCAGATAGGTGCGTGGCGGGATGAGCTCCGGCGCGATCTCATGGCGGAATGGCAGCAACGACTGTCGCAACCGAGGGCTGGGCTCGCTGCCATCGCAGCGGTAAGTCCCCTCTTTGAGGAGTGGCTTGAGAGACGCTACGGCGTCCTCACCTACCGCCTGACGCAGGTCCTCACCGGACATGGAAGTTTCGGGAGGTACCTGTGTCTGATGGGGCGGGAGGAAACGCCCGGGTGTCATCACTGCGAGGACCGCCCTGAGGACACGGTGGAACACACGGTGGGAGAATGCCCTTCGTGGGCTGAGCACCGCCGTGTCCTCAGGGAAGTGATCGGCGATGGCGACCTCTCGCGTCCGGGCCTAGTGCAGGCCATGATGCGGAGCGAGGGGGATTGGGATGCCGTCTCCTCCTTTTGCGAAGCAGTCATGCTAGCTAAGGAGGAGGCGGGACGCGTGAGGCAGCGAAGCGCTGCCTCCTCGCAACCCAGCCATCGCGAAGGACACACCGGGCGTCGGGGATCGCGGGACGATCTCCGGCCACCGTAAGCGCGGGCCTGCGGACGGCGAGCATGGGTGGCTCCCCGTCCGACCAGAAACAGACCCGAGCGTACGGCGCGTCGCGTTCCGCGCGCGCCTCAAAGAGCCATCAGACCACCACAGATGGGGCCCAATAGGGCCGATGCCGATTCGGAGTCGCGGAGAACCTAACGGGTAACCGGGGCTCCGGCTCGACGTGCAGGAGAAGGAACGGGGTGGTTTTTAGTCAGTAAGAGTCTGACACTCCCTTCCGCCTCACCCAGGCGGGAGCAGTCATTCGATGATTTTCCCCCCTTAAAAAAAAAAAAGAAAAAAAAAACCCTTCGGGTATAAAAGGCGTGTTATGTTGTTGCTTATTTTAATTATGTGCTGTTACCATGGAAAACAATTACATAGGTACTTTTAACCTTAATACATAGATACTTAAGTTCCTTTTAGGGGCGAACGTTGACTGGGCCTCGAAGCAATGGAAAATTCTGTGAAATATTCTATAGTTTCGAACATAATCTAGTCCGTGACAGATTGTGTAAGGAGATGTTTTTCTTATGTATACAAAACATTCTATTTATATGATAATAAATATGTATTATAATGTGACGCAGATGGAAGTTATGCTATTTATTATTTTGTAGCATAGAATACTATACATAGTTATGATTGTTTGTATTTTCGCGTAAATACTAATGAATACCTTGTTGGTCGAATAGTTGCAAGTGTGACTGCCGATGCAATGCCGATTCGATTTCTTAGTCGGGTTAAGCTGTTTCGAAAATTTCTCAGTAAGAGCCCAGAGTCTGAATTCCCTAATACCAAAAAAAATATTTCTAAATATTGTCAAAGCTTTGCCAAAACAGCTACACAAAAACAAATTCAAACCCTTCGACAATTTGTCAGCAAAAATACCTATTTATTATTTTCAATAAAATTCAATTTTACTTTCTTACAACTTGAAGCTCAAAAGGTTATCCCTTTTGAGCTTCCCAGACGTTCACACGGCTACACATCGAGCTTTACATAACCAGTATAAACTGAACGTTAAATGTGCGGGAAGATGATGCGACGCGATACCAGGATAAACTGGTTTTGTATAGATTGATGTATGGCCGTGTACACATGTTGTATTAGATTATTTTTGCTAGACATGTACCAATGAACTGTTAAGATTGCCGTATAAAACAAAAAAGGTTTTTGTAAAAAAATGAACGCTACAAGAAATAATCTTTGAAGTCGAGACGGACAGACAGACAGTAGCCTGTCTGTGAACGAAGTAAATGTTTCATAGATGAAGTGTTTCAGTGAAGTTATTTGAGTTTTTATTAGAATTTTGATGAGTGATTTTCTCAGTAGTCTGCTTATTTATGTATTTACTTATATACAGCTGGATTATGTGTCCTCTTTATAAGAGGGTTTGCCATAATAAGTTTTGCGATATTAGTCTTATGTTATCGAAGTTTGAACCTTGTTTATTTACCTAAAATTGATATAGATTTTTCTATACATTATACTTTTTTTTATACCACGACGGTGGCAAAAAAGCACACGGCCCACCTGATGGTAAGCGGTTACCGTGGCCTATACGCCTGCAGCACTTGGGGCATTACATGCGTTTT